GCAGCTTTGTTTTATCTTTGATTTTGGAGGAAAACTAAAGAAATAAAATCCCCCTTATACACATGACCACCACCATCACCACCAGCAGCAGTTTAATATCCAAATAAGACCTTCTATATTCTGTTGAGAGCCGTGGTGGTGTAGTAGTTAAGTGCTCGGCTGCTTACTGAAAGATTGGTGGTTCGAACTCACTAGCTACTATGCAGGAGAAAGATGTTCCAGTTTACTTCCGTAAAGATTATAGCTTTGGGAACCCTATGAGTTAGTTCTACTTTGTCTTGTAGGGTCACTATGAGTTGGAATTGACTCAACAGCAAATTTGGGTTTATTGCTATTATTATTTTATTCTATTTTTTTATACTCTACTGGGTACCCTGAAGAATTCAGAAATTTAAGCCATTAAAAGTTATTATATATGCTCTCTTACTTGACCAAAAATATTTCTATTTTAAAATACCTATTCTTTGGTGATATTCTATTGACCAAAATGGAATATTAGACATGAAATTCTAGTGATAAAAATCTATATTGAAAATGTGGTCAAGCTTCTAAAAATCTAGTCCTTGCTCCAAATTACAACTGATTTAACAAACATATAATAGTTTTCAACATCTTCACAGTACATGTAGTTTTAGTTGCTTGAAATTCAGTCCCTCACATACCATCCTGATTATCATAAAATTTGTGAATATGGTCCTGGGAATAAAAGGTAGGCTCTTCTCTACTTTCTTTTTAAGAGACTCAGAAGACAGGGCAAGGAACACAAGGTGGAGAGAACTTATGGTTTTGAATCAAGCAACATGGTACCATTCTATCCACACATACTTACAGAGATCCAAACACAGGCAGACATAGTGTACTCAAGAATAGTTAGCAAGAAGATCACTAACAGAGGCTGAGGGCTGGCCACGTAGGGTGAGGATAGAGACAAAGAATAACAGGACAGATTTAAAAAGTAGCTAGGAATCAATTGGGAATCGATATACATTTATTGAGACCCTACTGAGTGTATATCTGCCCACAGGAAGCTGCCCACCACGGGGCAGGCAGGGCTGGACATCTGTGGTGTTCTAATTAGCTCTCCAGAAACCTCTTTAGGCTTTTTAGTTGACTGGTTTACCAGGAGGTGGGATAAATGTGGAGGCGTCCATCTGGCAGCTCTGGCAAGCAACATTAATGCATTGTCTATACAGCTATTGACATGAGCATCTGAGGGGTACAGAAAATACTCACACTGGAGATAAAAGCCAGCCCACTAGGAAGTATATCAATATCTTCAGAGCCATTTTCTGCAAAAGAAGTATAGGATCAAAAATATGCATGCATGAAGGCTTAAAAAATAAATATCACAGTTCAAACTTTGAGCTTTTTTGGAAGCTACATTGACTGTTTTAACTTGCAGGCCTGCCACTACCATAAGACTGAATCAGACTCATCAAACACTAAATTATTCTTTTAGAACTCCATTATCAGGAGAAAGAGGAAAATAAGTAGAAAACAAATTCATATGCTAGATTTATTCTTCAAGTAATAACTTCTAGAGTATCTCCTGAGAGACTGAGTCTCACTCCCCATACAAGGCTGGTCTAACAGACTGAGCGAAAAAGTCTGGAAAGATATCTGTGAAGCCCTTCCAACTTGTTGCTGAGACCTAAAAGTTTAACATTTTATAATCATATTGGAAAGTAATTGAAGAATTGTTCTCTGTTATAAAAAGTAATGGGTCTAAGGGCAAGCTATTGAGTATGAATAAATCTGACAGAGTTTAGTCATATATCTTTCTCATTGAGAGCTGATCTTGAGCATTTCCCTACGGAAAGAGGTAGATAATAGGACAAGTTGTGAACAGGATGAAAAAAGGGTTCCAAGTAGAGAGATACCCCCATATGTCCTAAGCAAGCACTATGAAAGTGATGGTTATCTGATGTGTCAGCTGTATTTTAAAAATATGGCAGCACCGATATATATCACAACTCCATGATCTTCTCCAAATGTAACACAAACATTCTTCTCTCAAGAGGTAGGGCCTCCAGATACTTTTGGATCTGCTGTGACCAATGCAATGAGGTGAAAGTGATGCTAGGAGACATCCAAGGCTATAAGTCATTAAAGTGATAAGGTTTCCATCTGGATTTCTCTCAATCAATCTCTCCCACTCCCACTCCCTCACCATGCCCACTCCCTCTCGCACCTTACAAGCTCTGAACTAAATGTAATAAGTTTGCCTTCTCTGAACCTCTAGAGAGACTACTGAGAGTTTACAGAGGCTCACAGAGATAGAGAGGCCCGAGGAGCTCTAGATAACTCCAGTTCCCAGCCTTTTGGTAACCTTAATTGGTACGAATGAAACAGAGATGAGCTATCTCTACTGAGCCCTGCCAAAATTGTAGATTTGTTAATAAAATATTGCTGTTGTTTTCAGCTAATGCTATGTTTTGGGGAAGTTTATTACATAGCCATAGTAATTAAAACTCATAGGAAAATGATTACCTGGGGAAATGAGTTCAAGTGTCAAAAGGCAATTAGGAAAGGGGAGAGAAGAATTCAGAAAATAAAAGTAGACAAAACCAAAAAAAAAAGAAGCACATTTCAATCAACAGAATGGTGGGCAATAGGCATTGAAAACTGGAAAGCAGATAAAGATGTAATTTTATTCATTGTTCTGAAGGTTGAAATATCCTCAATTAGTAACCCAAATATTAATCAGAACTTCCTATTTTCTAAGCATTCTGGTTAATCAAGTTTTCTCCATAGACAGATAGATAAACTCACTGCTGTCGAGTCAGACCCGACTCATAGCGACCCCTCCTTGGGTTTCTGAGGCAGTATCACTATGGAAGTAGATTGCCCAACCTTCCTTCTGAGGAGTGGCTGGTGGGTTTGAACCACCAACTTTCTGGTTAGCAGTCAAATGCCTTAGGCACTACGCCACCAGTGCTCCCAGACAGATACATAGATGGTTTGAAATATGTAATGCTATTTCCAAATGGAGTAACATAGATATTGGGAAAAATCCATTGAATAAGAAAATTTAAAAAATCATATTGAATACTGCTTGGTGACTTTTTGGCTTTTCTCCTGCTTCTCTGAACACCCCTACTTGGCTTCCTTTTCTCCTAACTTCTTCCTCATCTCCACCTTAAATATGGATATTCTACATGCTTTGCCCTTAGTTCTTTCTCACAACACAGCATCTATTTCACTACATGATCTACCGCACTCCCATAGTTTCAGCTTCCTTCCACATGCTCTTGACTCTCCAATCTCTAAATCAAGCCCACCCCATTCTCCCAAGTTGCAGACCTCTGTATTCACCTGTATATTGGACATTCTTACCTGCATTCTCAAAGTCAGGACCTGGACATTTCCCCCTCGAATCTGCTCTCTTTCCTATATTACTATTTCAATGGATGGCATGTCTATCCACCAAGTACCCAAAGCAGAACTTTGGAGTTTCTTTAAAACCCCCTTTTCTTACTCCCCAGTCCAGTTGATCACCAGTCATTTAAGCTCCAGAATTTCCTCCTGGATTTCTACAATAGCTTCCTAAGAGGTCCACTTTGCACCCCTGTACTCATCCTCTGCAGATGGAATCATTTTTTAAAATTGCAAAGTTGACCTCGTCACTGCCCTGATTAAAAACCTCCAGAGTTTATCAGAGATTGTCATATAAAGGCCAAGCTCCTTGGGCTGGAATCCAAAGAGCTCGACATGTTGGTCCCAGGCTCTGTTCTTGCAGTTCTCACCCTTTCAACTCCACATTCCAGTGTGCTGAAGTACTCATGTTAAACAGTTAATGAAATATGCAGACTCCTCACCTGCACGACTGTGTACGAGTTGCTCTCGTCTTCTTGGCACATCCACAACTTTCCCATCACACCCTCTCCTCCACTTGGCTGAGTACCACAGTTCTTGGAGATAAGCTTGGGAGCCATGCCCTCAGCCTTTCCAACCTCCCTGGTTCCAGCATTCCTTTTATGTACTAATACTGTCTCCTGTGACTGTTTTCACCATAACATTTTTCAGACTGTGCTGCAACCATCTGTTCAATTATTAATTTCCTAAAAGACAGCTTCCTGGAGACAAAGACTGGGTTTATTCAGCACTGTATCCTCATTGTTGTTGTGAGGTACTTTTGAACAGATTTTCGACTCATAATGACTCCATGTGACAGAGTACAACTGTTTCATAGCGTTTCCTGCAGTGTAATCTGCAAACCAACAGGACTTTTTCCCACACCTAACATAATACATACACCTTCACTGCAGAAGTACTCACGAAGTACTGGTTAATTGAATAAACAGGACAAACAGGTTTAGTTTCCTGTTCTTTGCTTGGTTTTATGTTAAACAGTATGAGTGTTAATTTTTGAGTGCAAACATCATGAGTTGCTCTCTAGGTTGGCTTCTCATTCCAACATCATTTCATATATATCCTGTGACAACATGAACCTACCTCAATAATTACAAAAGGGGTAGGCATTTTTTCAGAGGGGTTGTGCCTGTTTTTATTTACTCATTCTATCCAGAACATGGGGAAGCTGGTACTTTGCATTCAAATGTGGAAAAGAATTGCCTGCTGATCGCACACTATTTCTGTCCCTCCCTACCTCTGCCATTGTTCCACCTGCATGATGAGGCCCAGTGCAGCTCAACAACAGTGGCACCCATGGGAGTAAGAACCCCAAAGACATGCTCCTATGAGTCCTCCCCACATATCCATTAGCCTGTGCTCAACTATCATTAAAATCCCAATGTTAAGCCTAAATCAGCCTTATGGATAATTGTTGTTAGTTGCCATTGATTATGACTCATGGGGACCCATGTGTACGGAGTAGAATTGCTAGGGTTTTCAAGGTGATGACCTATTGAAAGAAGATTGCCAGGCTTGTCTTCCAAGGCACCTCTAAGCAGGTTTGAAGTGCCAACCTTTCAGCTAGTAATCAAGCATTTAACCTTTGGTGTGATCTTGCTAATTCCACTATTTGTATAATTTCCTTTCTTTGGCCTTCAACCATTCCCTTACATGCTGCAACCTACAGGAACCCTGAGAAGGGTCACATCAAAAATTACTAACAGTTATTATTGTCATTATTATTTCAAAATTTGGAGAGAGGATTTTGACAGCCAACTAAGAAAAAATGTGGGACCTACTTTAGAGTGGAAGCAGATCTTGGAGAGTGGGGAAGTTACAGAAGGAGAGAAAAAGATGTCTTAAGGGGAAATAAATCAAAAAACAAACAAACAAACAAAACCCACTGCCCTTGAGTCAGTTCTGACTCATAATGACCCCCATTGGGTTTTCAAGGCTATAAATCCTTACAGAAGTCAGCCTTATCTTCCTCCCATGGAGCAGAGTTTGAACCACTGACCTTCTAGTTAGCAACCAAATGCTTTACCCACTATGCCACCAAAGATCCTTTAAGAGGAAATAATAATAATAACCAAACTCACTACCATTGAGTCAGATCTGACTCCTAGTGACCCTTCCTTGGGTTTCCAAGGCAGTATCTTCCAAGGCAGTATGGAAGTAGATTGCTCAGTCTTCCTTCCAAGGAAAGGCTGCTGGGTTTGAACCACCAGCCTTCTGGTTAGCAGTCAAGTCCTTAGGCACTATGCCACCAGAGTTCCCTTAAGGGAAAATAGGACACATAAATTTACAAAGGTTATCCCCTTAATAATTCTGCCCGGGGCAGACCCTAATAACGCTGTCCATATATATTTCAAGTGTAGCTTTGGATAAATGCCAAGGACAGTCAAGTAACTTCCTGGCTAAAACAATCCTTGACCCTTAAAGTCTTGGAAAAATATAAACTTCATACAGAAATATTGATAAGATATGATTTCTGGAAGGAAAAGTAGTTCAATCTTTCAAGTTTTCTTTCCACAAAGAGTACTGGGGAAGGAAACTTCTTTAAAAAAGAAAAGTTTCTCCCACCAATAAAATTAACTCCAAACATCTGCGTCTTGAAGAAAATACAAATCAGAGTTTTTCCCTAGCTGCATTACTGCCTACCATGCCCCTGCCTAAAATATTTCAGTGGCTTTCCATTGTTTATTATATTCTTAATAGTGATTTTTATTAAAATATTTAGCTTGCCTTGTTCAGCGTTTTGGTCAGTCTTTATTTATTAATACTTCTGTTTTGTGGGTATTTTTATTTTTTTATCTCAGATTTTCTATTTTCTGCTGCTGCAAGAAGCTTTTCCTGAAGCTTCCATAATAAAAATGTATTTGTCAATAGATAAGAAAGGCAGTGTTACACAACAGAAAATACAGACATAGAAGAAAATAACTACTCTGGGTTCTTAATCTGGGCACATCACCAACTAATTCTGGACCATCGGGCAAGTAACTTAATTCTTCCATATGTTGGTTTCCTAATCTGCAAAGCACAGATAGCAGTTGTGAAGATGACCTAGATGTTTGTATAGGACTGAACAGAGTGCTTCATAGACAGTAAGCCTTTGATAAGGCAGCTGTTGTTGTGTTTGATTGTTTTTTTACTAGTATTGGTAACTTTTATTTTTGTTTTTATTGGGATAGCATCATATTTTATATATGTTTAAGCATTTTTGTGGTAAGATATATATAACAAAACATTTGCCGTTTTAATCACTTTTAACTGCACAATTCATTGACATTCATTACATTCACCATTTTGCAGAACCATCACCACCATCCCATCCCAAATATTTTTTATCACCACAAATAGACACACAGTACTCCTTAGCAATGACTCCCCATTTCCTCCCCACCTCCCAGCCTGAGACAACCACCAATAAATTTTTGTCTTTATGTGTTGGCCAATTGTAGATATTTCACATAAGTGGGATCATAGAATATTTACTCTTTTGTGTCTGACTTACTTGACTCAGTATAATGTCACAGCATGTATCAGAACTTGATTTCTCTTTATGGCTGAATAATATTCCATTGTATGTATGCACCATATTTTATATTTATCCACCACAATAATGGGCATTTGAATAATGTTGCAATGATCACTGGTGTATAAATATCCGCTTGAGTCCCTGCTTTCAAGTTTCTTGGGTATATACCTGGGAGTAGGATTGTCGGGAGGTATGGTAACTCCTGTTTAGCTTTTTGATGAACTGTCACACTGTTTTCCACAGCAGCTGCACCATTTTACATTCCCATAGCAACGCACAGGGATTCCAATTTCTCTATATCCTCACCAACATTTGCTATTTTCTCTCCTTTTTTTTTTTTCCTTTATATAATATCCACCCATTTGTAAAAGTGAAGTGGTAACTACTGGTTTTTATTTGCATTTCTGTAATAACTAATGAAAGACCCCTGGTGGTACAGTGGTTAAGCACTCAACAACTAACAGAAAGGTCAGAAGTTCCAACCCACCAGCCAATCCATGACAAAAAGATGTGGTGGCAGTCTTCTTCCATAAAGATTAAAAAACTCACTGCCATGGAGTTGGTTTCGACTCATAGCGATCCTTCTTTGGATTTCTGAGGCAGTAGCTCTACAGGAGTAGATCGCCCAATCTTCCTTCCAAGGAGTGGCTGGTGGGTTTGAACTGCCAGCCTACTGGTTAGTGTCAAATGCCTTAAGCACTACACTACCAGAGCTCCTCCAAAAATGTTACAGCCTTGGAAATGCTATGGGACAGTTCTATGCTGTTCTATGAGCCCACTATTAGTCAGAATTGACTTCATGGCATTGGGTTTAATGACTAATGATGTTTAGTCTTGAAAGAAGATAGGAAAATGTCTATGCAAGTAACTTGCCCATTTATTTAATAGAGGTGGTTTCTCTTGTTGTTGATTTGAGTGGTTATTATTTTTTAGATAGATATCAGTGTTGTCTTATTAACCAATGTCCCATAATCATGCTAACTTTCTTAATTCTTCAAATATAAAATGCAAATATGCCAATAAGCACAACAAGCAACCTGACATTTTACTCTTCTGCTCCCAGCCAGCTTCCAGTCATTTAGGTCATTCTATTTAAAATATTTGGATAATCAGAATTTGGCCTGTCTCTTACAATATTAGCTCAAGTTTAAGGTTCTCAAATCTAGTTTAATTATAGACTTTAGCAACCATCTAGTGTAATTACCCCTCTAAATTACTTGGCAGATTCATATTTTTTATAAGTATATATGTGGCAAATATAAATATCATGTAACAAAATAGTAAACAAATTAATGAATTTCACATTGTGCTATTTTTTCAATCAAATTAAATCTGACCTTGAGCCCACATCCCACTATTCTGATCTAAGTGATTACTGGGTCTCTTTGCTAGAATGTGCAAACATCCTAAGTGGTAGATCTTAAAACCGGGCAGAATATTTTGGGAAGATCAGATGGTCTTCATTCTATATTAGTCACTAGTGATTACTCACTACCAAGCCCATGTGGTTTCTTTACATTAGACAGCTCTGTCACTTCCATGCCATGTTTGGGCACAAAGTCTTTGCTCTGGCTGGGACACACTGTGCAAAAGTTCTAACCTTCTTAAAGATACTTTGTATCCATTCCTTCTGAGGCCTTGCTCTTTCTCCAGAATGCTATCAGGCAGTGGGGCAAGGATCCCTCTGGTGGTGTAGTGCCCAAACCATTTGATTGCTAACCAGAAGGCTGGTGGTTCAAACCCACCAGCCACTCCTCAGAAGGAAGACTGGGCAATGTACATCTGTAGAGATACCACCTCAGAAACCCAAGGAGGGGTTGCTATGAGTTGAATCTGAGTCAGCGGCGGTGAGTTTGGTTTGGTTAGGTCTCCATCATAGTCATTTGAAGGAGCTCAAGTTTTTGAAAACAAAAGTCAGGAAGGTATTTGACTCCAACTACTTCTGCTTTTCATCCCACTCTACAAGCCTCCCCTAAGACTAAGGAGCACAAGGTTCAGGTGATATTTTGGGGGGTTAGAAATTGAGAGGAAGGGGGGAAAAGAAGAAGAAAATCAAAACCAAAAAAGGCTCTTATTCTTTCTATCTCTTTTTAGCAGGAAAAATAAAATACAAATCCACATCACAATAACTATCCTGCCACACACTGATAAATAAGAGACAGGCCTTGACCTAGGGAGTTGACAATCTGATAGGGGGCAAAAGAAAGAGCACTAATAACTCTAAAATAAATAAGTGTGGTAGGTGTCACAAGTGAATCATAGTTTCAGAAGACTGAGAGTCCAGAAGAAGGAGAAGAATTTGCAGCTGATTTCAGCAAGCAAAAATAGAGGAATGTGTGGAGAGAATTTCATAAGCAAAGGTGAGAAATAGAAAGAACACATTCTCAGAACAGTGAAGAGAATCTAGCTCAAAGTTTTTTCTAGTAGCATTGTCAGGAAGAATTGGAAAGCTAAGAACCCAAATAAGCAGGTCTGGCAATAACTAGTGGATAAGATCAGTTCTGTGTGGAGAGACAAAGAATAAAAATGATGCCAACATTTTGTACGTGAAACATGAGGGACAAATGGTAAAGAAATGGCCCCTGGATTTTGAACTGAGTCTCTTGAAAATGGGGATACCAAACAGAGTTGCAGTTGAGATGAAGAGCTGGTTATGGGTTGGGAAATGAGGAAGGAAATTACAGAAACATGAAGTAAATTTTCAATTAGGTTGAGTTTGAGGTAAAGCTACCCTTCGGCAACTGAAAATGAAGGCCTATGGTTTGAGAGGCTAGAGATAAAGCTACAGCTTTTAATTTTAAAAAAATCTAGTAGGCTGTAAGGTTTTTAGGGTAAGGGCTAAGTCATATTCTTCTTGGTACTTGTAGATATGTTTTGAAAGAAGTCACACTTGAAGCCAGGAATGTCATCACAGAGATGGAGGGAGGAAAGAAAAGAATACAGGCAACAGAGGCAGCCAGGGAGAATGAGATATCATGAAAGGGAAATGACAGAGGGCCAAGGAGTAATTAGTGACATTCTTCAAATGAGAGACCTCTGTAGGGAAAAAGGACTGAGAAAAGGCCAGATTTGGGCAGTTAGGAAATCCCTGGAGACCTTGGCTGGGGTAGTTTAGGTAAAGTGGACGGGGGCAGAAGCTCCACTACAAGGATCTAAGAAGTACTGGGGCATTAGTGGGTGATCAGGTGGATAGTGATCAAGAGATTGTGCTGTTGCCTCTTGGTACTGCACATACATACCTATTCCCTCAACGATGTGGCACTTCCCAGGTTCTACAGGCTCCACTTCTTGGGATGCACCAAATCTTTGACTGTAGATGATAAAAAACAACACTGGAGGTCATTGCACAACATTCAACATCAATGTCTAAACACGACCTTTAGTCATCTTCATACTGGTTTACTCTATCAGAATTTAAGGGTGACATAACAAGTAAATTTTTGGAGTCTCCTTTTATTTACCAGTAAATGTGGACATTATGTGGATAATAATATAACATCATTATAAAATTCAGATGTGATTATATAAGGAAAACATTTTACTGTCCAAATAAAAGATTCAATTTAATCATATGAGTAATCGAGCAATATTATTAAGTATGCAAAATAACATTCTTTAATTTGCCAAAGTACTTGCCCAAGCAGCAAGATTACAAATCTGTACTTTTCCCCCTTAACCTCAATAGTTTTGCTCTCTGAATCTCTCTCAAACTGCCTTCCCAAAAATCAACATGGCCTTCTCATAGCTATATCCTTTAACTTTTGCTTTTGCTTTATGTTTTGATTTTACATTGACTTACTTTGCAAATATGTAAATTCATTAAGCTAACCACAATTTAAGCAACTGGCCAAATTATTTTTCAATACAGTGTTCTTGTTTTCACGGTGAAACACTCTTCTAAATACAAGGGATAATTTAAAACTTCTGTTAAACTCTTTAGGAAGACTTTACACTTAGACTTACCTTACTGTCACTTAAAAAATATATGTATCTCTTAAAATTTTTCTTCTTTTTTTTAATGACTCTGTCACTTGGGTGCACTGGTAGCAAATATAACAACAAATACTCTCAAGCTAGGCTAGAAAGTATTACCAAAAGACATTAGGCACCTCAACAAATTCTACATGTGCACCTTGAAGGAAACCAGCCTCTACTTAGAGAAGTAAATAAAAAGCAATACGAAGACAACTGAATGCAAGTAGAGGCTTTAGATCCACTGAAGGCTGCATCTCCCACCTGCCATTTCTTCTGTCTAGTCCACCATTGACATTTCCAGAGACATTTCTGAGATGGCTATTACCACCTATCTTTCACCTAGAAAAGATGGATACCCAGGAAATGCTAGTTATCAACTGCAGGTTTCAGCTCATTTCCTGGCTCTCTGGCTAGCTCTTTTAATCTGAGTGGGTTGTGAAACAGAGCGCTCCTCAGTGGTCAGCTCGGTTTGGGAAATGTCAGAGCAGTCATAAACATCCTGATCCCCTCCCCCAGGGCCAGTTCTTCCAAGGATTTAGTTTCTGCTTGAGCAGGATACAAAGGGCCACCTGGGAAAGGGAATATGACTTTCAGAAAATACACACGGGCATTTCCTCCCTACCCTCTTAGAAAGTAGAGCAGCCAATCCACTTTCCACAAAAGAAGCTTCTCCAGGGATAGAGTTCTGGATGGCAGAGAAGAGTGAAGCTCCAAAATCTCCCACTCCTACCCGTTAGGAAGAGGGCACCAGGCAGTCCTTGAACTAACTTCGAAGAGGAGAGACAGAAAGCAGAAACGCTCCTATCAAAATGCCAACTCACCGAAACGCCAATAACCTCTCCCCAATTAGGGCCAGGCCGACCCCCAGCAGGGTCAGCGTCACCAGCTTCCCCATGGTCTAGGGGTGCCTGGTGGCGGAGAGCTGGCTCGCAGCGCTCCTGGAAGGCGCGGCTGGCAGGCTCTCCAGCCGATTGGAGCCCGCCCCGCCCCGCCCACCGGCGTCTCCCGTGACAGGTGCCGGGTCAGGGCTGTGCTCCTCTGCGCTGTGGCCTCCCGCCCGCGCCCAGCAGTCCGGAGGTCAAGGCCACCTTTCAAGGTTCACAGCTAAAGGTCCAAAGACATCTTACTGTGCTGGGTTCTTCCCAGCCCTCTTCCCTATCCCCGCGTTAAGGCTTGAACTTGCAGTGAGGGAGCCCGGAAAAGGTCTGGCGTTCCCTTGGCAGCTTCAGCACCTGCATGCCAGTTGGTGGGACTGTGGAGGGAGTTCGCTGCTAAAAGCAGCGGGATTCTACCTCAGCTTCTTAAATCCACAGAGAGGGGACTGAAAGAGCGGGTTGGCGAGGACTTTGAATTTAGAGCCTGAAACTTCAGGCTTCTGCTCAGCACCTTGTGAACTGAGATAGAGAAATGAGCCAGAGCGCGAGACGTCCAGGGAGAGGATAATTGAAGTGAAGGGCTTCCCCACGGTTTGGACAGGAGACCCTGTCTCTTGACCTCCATGTCCTACCTCAGTGTCGAATACGGTGCTAAATGTTCAACTTAAATTTTCTGATTGGATGGATTTGTGAATATCATTATCTGCCCCCCTTGTTGATGGGATTTGAAAAAATTGGAGAGTGAAAAGGAAAGGAAATAGGATAGGAAAAAAGGAAGATGAGGAGAGTTCCTTCCTAAGTAAGGCTTTCAAAAGACTTCTTGATCTTTCTTCTAGGTCTTCAGTTCCTCCAGGCAGGAAATGCACATTCCTTTTTTCATGATGAAGATCACGTTGGAGGGAAGAGGTGAACCAGTAATAGATGATGGGGAAAATCTGAGAAGTTTAAGCAAAGCAAAGTAGCATCTTCCTTCAAGAATGATTTGTTTTTATTTACCAACAGAAATAAATGGTCCTAGTGAGTTTCAGTAGGTAAGCATTTCTTGAGAGACCAAGATTTACTAGGCCTGGAGATAATAAGAAAAGTTGATCCCTGACCCATGGAATAATAATTATAATATGGATTGCATAATCATGGTAGGAGTAATGAAGCCTAACACTTAACACAGCTCACAATAATTCAAAGTTCAGAATGTTGAACTTTTCATGGGTTTTGTGTGTGTGTGTGCATGTGTGTGCTTTAAGTGCATGTTTACAGAGCAGAATTCCACATTATGTGTACATTTAGTTTCACTCCCCTTTACCATGTCCAACCCTAACCCAGTCTCCTTCCCTCCCTGCCCAGTAACACACACCCCCATACCCCTCATAGTTATGCACTCCTGTGTGTCCTGCATTTCCTCCATGCGAATGTTGCCCCTCTGGTGCCCTGTGGTCCATTGCTCCAAGGGATGCATTTCCATAGAGTATGTGGGTGCGTCACCCTGGGTTGAGTGATCTGTATGTATATCTTGTTTACTATTGAGCTGAGAGCCAGCCCCTGGGAGTAAGTATTGGGGTCATAGTATTGGGGGTCTCACCAGACTCCATCCAACCAGTAATTCCAGTCATGATTTGAGTTTTTGAATTTTTTCCATGTTTTTCCTCCCACTCTATCCAGGATCTCCAGATTTGATCCTTTCCTGAGTGGTTGGCATTGGTAGCCGGCACCATCTAGTTCTTCTGGTCTCAAGGGCCATCATGTCCTAAGGCTGATTACTTCCAAATGCCTTGTTTTTTTGCACTCTTCTTCACTTCTGACAATAGGAGACCATTAGCTGCATCTTGGATGGCCTCTTGAAAGCTTTTAAGACCCAGTTGCTACTCACCAATGTAGGATAAGGAATAAGACTTTTGTGTATTTTGTTGTGCCAATTGAGTCTGATGTCTCTCAGTACTATGGTCCTGAGACGGTAGATCTGTTGGATCTCTCTCCCACAGTGTCTGGCTGTCTGTGAGAGATTACTGTATGTCTGTCTTCTGTTGTTTCTGTAATGATTGCAGGTATTTTGTATCACTGGTATCTGTGCAAGATTAGCCTCTGCTGAATCTATCCTTGGTCTAGAGTATACTCCTGTTCACTGACCCCCATCTGATCCTCTCAGATGTTTATGTGTTTATCTGTAGCCTGGTGTTTGGTGTTAATGGTAATGCAGTATTGTGGGCTCACTGGTTGGTATTAGCATCTGTCATCTCTATCTTATGTGCACAATTCGGTGTCCTTCCTTTTCCTAATGTCATCATGGTGGTCACAGACTCTTTCTATACCATCCCTCCCCTAACCTATGTCAGCATGTGGCCCCCAACTACCCTGAAATTAATCCTTCCTCTTCCCTCCCCACCCCAGTAATCTACAAAGTTAGTTCCTTTTCCCAAGCAAACCCTTCTTTGTCTTTTTACAGTAATGGGCTCATACAGTATTTGTCTTTCTGGGGTTGATTTATTTCACTCAGCATAATGTCCTCCAGGCTCATGCATGTTGTGAGAAGACTGGCATATCCCTCATTGTTCTTTAATGTAGCATAGTATTCCAATGTGTGCATGTATCATAATGTGGTTATCCACTCACCCGTTGATGGGCATTTAGGTTGTTTCCATCTCTTTGCTATGGTGAATTGTGCTGCAATGAACATAGGTGTGCATAGGTCTGTTTGTGCACTGACTCTCACCTCTTTAGCATATATTCCTAGTAATGGAATTGCTGAGTCAAATGGTATTTCTATTTTCAGTTTTTTAAGGAAATGCCATACCATATGCCACAATGGTTGTACCATTTTATCTCTTCAAAACCTCGCCAGCATTTCTTATTTTCTGTCCTGTTGAGCTTTGCTATTATTGCTGGGGTGAGATGATATCTCATCATTGTTTTGATTTGCATCTCTCTAATGACTAATGATCGCAAGCATTTCTCATGTGTTTGTTGGTTGCCAGCATATCATCTTTAGTGAAGTGTCTGTTCAAGTCTTTTGCCCATTTATGAATTGGGTTGTTTGTCTTTTTGGCATTGAAGTTTTCTATAGATTTTGGAGATAAGTCCTTTATCAGATATAAACCCATTGACATCAGATCCGACTCATAGTGACCCCTCCTTGGGTTTCCAAGGCAGTATCACCATGAAAGTAGATTGCCCAACCTTCCCTCTGAGGAGTGGCTGGTGGATTTGAACTGCCAGCCTTCTGGTTAGCAATCAAATGCCTTAGGCCCTACGCCACAAGAGCTCCTTTTATGAGATATGTCATAGGTAAACATTTTCTCCCAATCTGTAGGTTCTCTGGATGAAGTCTTTCGATGCACATAAGAATTTAATTTTTAAAAGGTCCCAGTCATCTAGCTTATCTTCTACCTCCTGTGCATTCTGGGTTATGTTTGATATTCTATTTATGCTGTAAATTAGGGCTCTCAGATTTGCCCCTATTTTATCTTTGATGTATTTTATAGTTTTGAGTTTTACATTTAAGTCTTTGATCCAGCTTGAGTTTGTTTTTGTGTATGGGGTGAGGTATGGGTCTTGTTTCATTTTTCTGCAAGTGCATATCCACTTTCGCCAGCACCATTTGTTAAAGAGGCTGTCTCTTCCCCATTAATGGGTTTTGGACCTTTGTCAAAGATCAGTTGTCCATAGATGGATGGGTCTATTTCTGGACTTTCAATTCTGTTCCATTGGTCTGTCTATCATTGTACCAATACCATGCTGTTTGACTACTGTGGTTGTATAGTGGATTTTAAGATCCAAGAGTTTTTTCTCTTTTTTCATGTATGCATTTATTGTCTATTTATATATATTTATATTATATTTAGTGTCTATTTCTTCTTTGGTTTTAGTGTTGATGTTATGTGTCCTGATTTTGTTGTTCTCTGTTGTGTGTTCTCTATTGGAAGGACTTCCTTAAGCATTTCTTGTAGGGTTGGTCTGGTTTTCACAAAATCCCTTAATTTCTGTTTGTCTGAGAATGTCTTGATTTTGCCCTCATGTTTGATAGACAATTTGGCTGGATATAGGAT